TAGTATGGCCTGCCATATAGCAACAAACTTTTTGCCCAACATTTCTAATCATGGAGCTAAATCGTAAAAACTAATCAAATATGACTAAAAATTAGAATATTGTAAAGTTTTTAAGTCTTCAAAGTTATTATTTTATGGAAAATTTACTAAAAATTTGAGCCATAAATACATCTTGCTATACGCCATAAATTCTTCTGAAATTTGTTTAGGTTTATATATGTACATTTTAATACTTACATGTACATGTATATATTCACCTTTCATTCTTATAGGATTATCTACCAGTAGCAGAGGCATGTTTAGGGGGGGGGCTGAGGGGGCTTGAGCACCCCCCTCAGGGCTGGGCTCAGAAAAAATTACTAAAGTCCTGGACTCTTGCATCACTACCAAGCCTCTTAACAAAGTTATTTAGCCCCCTGATCATGATTTCAGCAGTTTCCAGTGCTTTAAGGAGCAATCAGAAGTACCAGTAACATAGCAGTATGCTTGAAATGATCTTGGCCCCACCCGTAATTGACGAAAATGCATAAAGAGGCCGTTTTACTGCCGTAAAAGTGGGTGTGGTCAAAATTGCGGCGCACTTCGCGCGCCCTCAGCACCCTCCACCTTTAATTCCTAGATACGCCCCTGAGTAGATCAGGAAGAATTACGTGATTATGTACAGGCCAGATTAAAGGTTTTTTATGAGGAAGAGCTAGACTTTCTTCTTGTTCTCTTTAACGAAGTCCTTGATCATGTCCTTCGTATTGACAGGATCTTCAAACAGCATCAGGTAGGTGTGGTCTAATACTGACCCCACCCCTTATTGACTCTGCCACTTTTAGAGTCTCAGTGGAGCTGGTAAGACTATACTGTCTAGGTCTGTGGCTTGGATCAACGGACTACATGTATCTGTGTTTCAAATAAAAGTAATAATGGAGAGAGGGAAAGAGAGCGATATAAAAAGAGCTTTCTTTTTTGTCTTTCTCCTAGGTTCATAATAAATACACTCCTGATGGTTTTGATGATAATCTACATACAGTGCTAAGACGGTCTGGCTGTCGCAATGAGAAGATTTTATTCATAATGGATGAGTCTAATGTCCTCGATTCAGGATTCTTGGAAAGAATGAACAGACTACTGGTCGATGGAGAGGTAAGAGAAGAGAGAGATCTTCATATGTGCATGTACATACATATACATGTAGTATTTCTACCTGTATTTAAATTTAAACTTTAAATATTCTTTCTAGCAATTGTATGGCTTCTATTTCCTATCCATTGACTCGTAAAATTTAGAACCCTTGTACATGTACATACATATGTACATGTAATTCTAATATAATTCTAATTCCCCCTTGCAGGTTCCTGGATTATTCAAAGCCGATAAATTCACAACCCTCATGACCCAGTGCAAGGAGGGGTCTCAAAAGGAAGGACTGATGCTTCATTCCTCTGAAGAGCTCTACAAATGGTTCACTCATCAGATAATGAGAAACCTTCACGTGGTATTCACTATGAATCCTTCCTCTGAGGGTCTTAAAGACAAAGCTGCTACCTCTCCTGCTTTATTCAATTGTTGTGTGTTAAACTGGTTCGGTGATTGGTCCACTGATGCTCTGTATCAAGTTGGATATGAGTTTACTAATAAAGTTGATCTTTATAAATCAGACGTAAGTACATATGTATGTATATATACAGGATGTACATGTACATATACACTCATGTACATGTCCATCAATGTGTATAAGCCAAGAATATATGCATGTGTAAGTTTCAAAGAGCTTATAATGTTTATACTACTTATGCATGTACATGTATGGGCATGATTTTATGTTATTTTTCAATTTATATATACAGATACATGTTCATGTATGTCATATCTCTCTCTCTCTCTCTCTCCA